AACACCTTAGCTGAGCTCCCAAGTAAGGGCACACTCACTTGCAAAGTTACAGCACTGGCAGTTACAGCGCTGCTCAGAGAGTGCCAAAGGAAAACTGCTGTTGTGTGTTCATACTGACAGCTGCCTGTGCAATAGCGTGTTCACACTTGCGGCGCTATTTGGAGCGGTGCACTCTGGGCAGCTGTCCCACAGAGCACCTTTTTCTCTTTTGCCGCTAAGACTTGTGAGAAGGCGGAAGGGGTCGTGAGGCATCCTGGGTCCTGTCACAATGCCCCATTATGCATTGCTTCGCATCCCAGCAATCCCTTCCGTACACATTTGGCAATGGTTTGTGTACTGTGCGCCCTGCCCTGCCTCTTTCTTTCTGGCTGCAGGAATGGATCTCGAGCTGTTGACCAGAATGCTGCTCGCACTGACCAACACGTCACGAGTGGCAGTGGAGTTATTCCTTAAACTACAAAGGCAAGAGGAGTGCGACATTGATCTCGCCACGCATACTAGCTATGACACGAAATTGCTTGTGGCATTCACAGAGGTGCTGACCACAGTGGAACACCGCTTTTGAGCTCAGGGAAACAAGCACCGAGTGGTGGGATCACAGCGTGATGCATATCTGAGATGACGAGCAGTGGCTGCAGAACTTTCGGATGAGGAAAGCCACATTCATGGGACTGTGTGATGAGCTCGCCCCAACCCTGCGGCGCAAGGACACAAGAATGAGAGCTGCCCTGTCACTGGAGAAGTGCGTAGGGATTGCACTGTGGAAGCTGGCTACTCCAGACTGCTACTGATCGGAGTGGGAAAGTTGACTGTTGGACTTGTGTTGATGGCAGTGTGCAGGGCCATTAATCGCATCCTGCTCCAAAAGGCTGTGACTCTGGGCAACGTGCGTGACATTGTGGATGGCTTTGCACAAATGTGCTTCCCTAACTGGAGGGGCAATAGATGGCATACACATTCCAATTCTGGCACCAGACCACTTAGCCACTGAGTACATTAATCGCAAGGGGTATTTCTCAATGGTTCTCCAGGCACTTGTGGATCACCATGGATGTTTCACAGACATTAACGCAGGCTGGTCCAGAAAGGTGCACGCATCTTTCAGAACGCTGGTCTGTTCAAGAAGGTGCAAGCAGGGACTTTCTTCCCGGACCAGAAGATCACCGTAGGGGAAGTCAAAATGCCCACTGTGATCCTGGGAGACCCCGCCTACCCCTTAATGCCATGGCAAATGAAGCCATACACAGGGCAACTTGACAGCAGCAAGGAGTAGTTCAACAACAGGCTGAGCAAGTGCAGAATGATTGTGGAGTGTGCATTTGGCCGTTTTAAAAAGTCCACTGGTGATGCCTGTATGGGAAGCTGGACATGGCTGATGACAATATTCCTATGCTTATAGCCGTGTGCTGTACGCTCCATAATATTTGTGAAGGGAAGGGCAAAAGCTTCACTCACTTAGCGCCTGGAGGCTGAGTCTGAACAGCCAGAGACCAGAGCTATTAGAGGGGCACAGCATGGGGCATAAGGATCAGGGATGCTTTGAGGCAGCAATCTGAAGCTGAAAGCCACTAATATTTGTTGCTATGCTCTGGATTGCAGTGCTTGTAATGCTAGGAGGTGATTGGGGCACATGATGCAAAAAGGGGCCTTAACATAATTGTATGTTGTTTTGCAGTGCTCTTTTTGCTTTCACTTAATAGAATAAAGATTGCTTTCAAACAAACACAATTCTTTTATTGAAAGACAACAACCAGAGGAGAGAGTCAAATGAAAAAAATCATCAGCAGGGACGGAGATGGAGGGAAGGGAAGGTCTCAAGAGGAGGAGGAGTCCTGGGACTGCTACAGATTTCTGTATCTCTAGGGATCATACCCAACCTTCTCCTTTGGAGTATGATGCAGTGGGTGCTGTACTTCAGCAGGGCCAAACTGCAGAGGGATGGGTGTTGAGGGTAGTGGGAGTCCACACTGCTGGACAGTAAGGAGGGAGGAGTGGAATGCTGCGGGTAGAGAGTGTAGCCAGGAGATTGATAAGAGTGTGTTGGCGGGGTGTGTGTGTGTAGTGCATGGGAAAGAGTTTTGCAACAGCGGCTGCAGGGGAGGGTGGGCGCAGAGCTGCTCCTTTTGAAGAGCTAGTATCGCCTGGAGTGGGTCTGCTTGGTGCTCCATAACTGTTAAGAGCCGCTCTGTGGCTTCTTTCTGGTGTGCCGCATTCTCCTTTCGGTCCCTCTTCTTGCTGTCCCACCACTCCTTCAATTCTTTTTTCTCGGCGGCGGAGTGCATCATAACCTCATACATAAAGTCCTCCCTGGTTCTTCTTGGATGCTTCCTAATTCTTCGCAACCATTCTGCCACCGATAACAAAGAGTGAGGCTGTGCTCCCAAGGTCATCTCTGTGAAGTTTAAATGCAACATTTTACAAAGCAGTATTGTTTGCAACACAGACAACACTGTTTCAGTTCTTTAAAACACAGCCAGTACTCTCACACCTGTCACTAACTGGCTGACCCCAGGCAAGCACACATAAGCCACAAGACCCAAAAATGGTGAGTAGTCGCAGGGGCAGGGTGAATCACTGTTCCCGAACCCTGCTGTACACTGGGCACGTGGCTCTTGGGCACTTGGGGAGAGCCAGCACTGTATAGTGGGCCTGATAATCATTCCTGTCCCCACCCTTTCCACAGGAGGTGATCATTATGGAAGATATCTCGCTGCTGAGGGTGAGCAGGGAATCAAGAGAGGGTCTTCTCCAAGCCTGCACCTTTCGCCCTGGCCCCTCTGCGGCTAGCCTGCATGCAGCAATGGTTCCCCCCCCCTTCCACCCGTAATGACACAGTGCTGCGGAAAAGTTACTGTTAATGGGGCAAGAAATAAAGCAGCACTGCCAAGAAACCTGCGGGAGTGGATTGCCCAGTATCTGCACAAGAGTTTCCTGGAGATCTCTGAGGGAGATTCCTGTAAAGTGAGGGAGTGTATCAACAGCCCCTTCCACTGCTCAAACTAGCCATGAGGTGGGAAACAAGCCTGCTTTCTGCAACCCTCCTGCCTCCAACAACTCACTTCAGCAATTCCCAAAATCAGATCCACATACCAGGGGCCTCCTCTCCTATTTGTGCTTCGCCAAAATCCGACTGCTGTGACTGGGTAGACTCCTCCGGGGGTAGAAAAGAGCTCCTGATTGCATGCATCTCTGGCCTCCGAGTCATCCTCTGCCTCTGGGTCCCCCCTTCATCCAAGATTGCCTCCTCCTGGCTTGGTCCATTCTCAACTGGTATGGAAGCCAATGGAGTATCCACAGGGTCCTTCGCAGTGGAGGTGGGGTCACCATCGAGTATCGCATCCAGTTCTTTGTAGAACCGGCAGCTTGTGGGTGCAGCACCGGAGCGGCGGTTTGCCGCCCGCGCCTTGTGGTAGGCATTCCGCAGCTTCTTCACTTTGACCCTGCACTGCAATGTGTCCCGGTCATGGCCCTTTTCTATCATGCATCTAGAAATCTGTCCGAAGGTATCATAATTCTGACAGCTGGAGCACAGCTGTGACTGCACTGCCTCCTCTCCCCAAATACTGATGAGGTCCAGCTGCTCGGCATTGCTCCAAGCAGGGGATTGCCTGGTGTGTGGAGCAGGCTGGCCACCTGGAAAGATGCACTGAGACCACTGCATGCATCACCGAGCAAACAGGAAGGGGTCTTTCAAATTTGTAAAGGAATGTATGGCGAGGGGCTGAGGGTTGGTCACCTGAGGGCAGGGCAGTAGAGTTCAAACTGATGGCCAGAGCAGTGAGAACAGTCATTGTGGGACATCTCCCAGAGGCCAATCGCAGCGCTGTAATCACCACCATGTCTATATAGGCACTGCGGCGCTGTAGTCCTGGTGCAGAAAGATGTACGCCTCTCATCAGGGTGTTTTTTTTTTTTTTTAGAGTGCTGCGTCCACGCAGTTTCCGCACACTATGTGGCTTGGCCGTGTGTACACCTCAGGAGTTAGAGTGCTCAAAGCTGTTTTACTGTGCAGAAGCTTTCCATTGTTGATGGGGCCTAAGTTAAGTGTGTTGGTTTTCAGTTTCAGTATATAGCAAACACTGAGAGGTTTTAAGGGAGCATAATAGGTAAGCAGGTGCTGGTGTTCATAATGCTCTCAACTGTGACACAAGCAACAAAGAATTCCTAGTGGGGATATTCTAGTATGACAATGTGCTTAGCTAGTGGGTCATGTGCAGGACCCCATCCCTCTCCTTTAAGGAAATACTTGACGAGAGAGGACACTACAGGTGCAGTAAGGAATAAATCCCCCATGGTGCACTGCCTTGTTGCTCGCTGCTCTCCGTGTCTCAGTGGTGTGTCACTGCAGGGTGATGGGGCCTTGGTGCAGTATTTTATGGGAGTTTTATTTCTTTTGGGTCTTTTAGTTCTAGCTAAGTGGGGGGGGGGGGCTGATGGAGTCAAGTAAGGGCAGGAGGCGGTGTGAGGCGGCACAGTGTGGTACGGGCGAGACATGTTAAAATACTCTCTGCAGCCACCCCACGCCGGTGCTTGCAGGTGACCTCTCAGCTGAGCCCTGCTCCGGGCTGCTAGCGGAGCGCTGTGTTGAGGGAGGCCCAGCCCCCTGGATTGGACAGAGGGAGAACGCAGCGAGCTTCCCCGTTGCGCGGGGCTGAGCGCTGTGAGGAAGAGCGGCAGGAGCGGGTCGGGAACGGAGCAGGCGGCTCGTCCCCTCCCCGCGGGAAACAGGCGGCACACAAACCCGCTCACGCCGAGGAGTTTAAAAGAGAAAGTACGCATGCTCAGAGAACCTTTTTCACTTGACCAGAGCTCAGAGAGCCGGGAAGCAGTGTCCGTCTACCGTGTCTCACCGGCGATTGGTCAAGTCCCCCCACTAACTCTCCCGATGATTGGCTTGACAATAAGGTGACGTTTGAACGGTCTCGCGTCGCTCACGGGCGAGCACTGGTGGTTGGCGGAGCAGGCTGTCTGTCCCATGACAAGGCCTGCGCCCAACCCCAGCGGGACAGAAGCGATTGGCCCCGCCCCTTGCTCGGTCGCTGGGTTCGTGCTGTGTGAGGCCTCCCCGCCCCCCTGCACTGTTCCTCCGGGCCCTGTCGCGTCGGGATGAGCCGCGCTTCCCCATGGAGACCAAACGGGTCGAGATTCCCAGCAGCGTCCTGGACGATCTGTGCAGGTAGCAGAGATCCGCGCTCCCCCCCCCCCGCACGGCTTGA